TACCAACACATCATTGGCTATTAAATGTCTGAATGCTGTGAATGTATTCGAGGGTCGTCAGAACATAAACTGTTTTTTTTTGTTCACGTAAACATTTTTGTTGGTGGAAACGTGAAGTAGAATGGGTGATGAGTGTGAAGTGGGAACTGGAATGTTTCCGTCACGTTTCTTTAAGACAAGCAATGATTTTTTGCTTCTTAAGTTCTTTTTTTGCAAAAGCACTTAAAATGACGTGATTTCTTGTAGGTGTAACTTCATTCTAAGTGGAAATCAGAAATCCAAGCTGGCTAAATTGAACAATATTTGTGATAAAAGCCGGTTACACTTGGATAATAACACACCCAACTCCTCCTTTAGCCCACCCACACTTAAAAGTTGGTGCAGTGCTGTGTATTTTGATTTCCTCCATTTAGCAACATTTGCCTATTCGCATTGTACCATCTTCCAAGTTGTTCACATTTTCAATCTTCTTTTTGTAGTTATTTTTGTCGTGCCTAAATTTCTTAGTGTCAGTGATTGTGCTTGTTAGCATGCGCAACTGGACGATTCAGACCACCCAGTTACGTTTAAGGGCTGTGCATTAGTGTGTGCCTAAATACAAGTTTAAATGCACTTAGGGGTAGTGGTGTAGTTTTTCCAAATTTCTCACTCAAGCCAATGAGCGCTCCGCCCTGCGTGTCTTTTGTGGGTTGTCTGGTGAATCAGCACCGTTAGTGAATGAATTGTTGGTCGTTCGACGCACTTCAGAAGTTGTTGAACGTAATGAATATCAGCGGTAGATTGTCCTAGGATTAAATTGTGGATAAAGTTGACGATAATTTTATCGAGGTTCATTTTGTTCGATTAAGTTATAAACCCTTGTTTGAAATCGCTAAGTGGGTAAGCGTGGTAGCATCAGCATGATATCCTTGAAACCGAATTTTCTTTCATTTAACGCGTTTAAAACACTACATCTTGCAGCAGACTAAAAGTTATTGGGAAATTGCTGATTAAATACAACGATAGTAAATTGGTGCTGCAACTGAGAAAGGACTGAAATTATTCTCGAGTAAGCTGAAATAAGGAAAATGAGGTTGAACAAATTACGACAGTCTGAATCATGTCGACCAGGTCATGCGCCTGTGACTGGATAACAAAGTCATTCCAGTGATAGTAACACCAAATCGACGATTGCTGAACTTGGAATTTTTAGGATAGAAATCACACGTAAATCGACATGCACCAAGTCATAAACTGATTGCAAACCGAGATGTGTAAGTTAACTTCCGTTTTAACTTTCGCATAACCCAATCTAGCAATCAAAAATTTGAAATTCTTTAACCCTTGAGCCCACATAAAACTTCTGTGAAGACTTAACGTAAATTAGCGGGCGCAGGTACTCGACTTTATTTTAAATATCCCAACCGATATGTATCTCTGCACATTCCCCCCTTCGGCAGTTGCGACGGTGTTATCAACTCAGCTACACGAGGCAGCACCTCCGTAGAGTTGAAAGCCTTGACACTTAAAAAGGCCGGAATTGCTTTGCAGGGCAACAAAGAATTACGATTATACCTTCCGTTCTTCATTCGTATCTACCAACCAGACCATTAGGTATTACGACATACTCGTTGAGTTGCGGCGAATTTCTTCTCAAATGATTCGTCTAATGAGTTTAAAAGCGAATTCTTCACCGTAGACTGATTCACCCTTCCCTCCATTAAATCACAAATTAAAATTTTGCAAAAAGTTGTTTAAATATTTTATTGCAAGAACACATAGAAAGAATAAAAGAACACTCCACTCTTGTGAGCAATACAGATGCGACGCGATGCGGTTGGTGCGCGTGTCTGCGTCGGCGCATTGGACACGCAAAATGACAATGGAGAGATCGTAAGAAGCAGAGATGAGATAAATGCATAGGGTTCGGAGCCATAGCGAACCTACACAGGAAAGACGAATTTACCCATTTGATCGAATAACAACAACTGATTCAAAAATGAGTCAAAATATTAGTGAAACAAGTTGTTAGGAAAAAGAACAACTGGCTAACATTGCCTAAAGCATAGGACGTTGATATTACTCCGATACACTGAAGATTAGTTGCAAAAGCGTTGTGTCAGCATTTACAACATTTCACTATGAGTGCATGTACACTTCGCACGGGGATAGTTGATAGACTAATAAGAATTCGGAAGCTTTCAAAACACAAGACCAAACTATCGGGGTAAAAATAGCACCTCGGATAAACTCAGGTTGTGGATTAGAACTCGATTGTTCGCACGCTAGGATTAATCTTGGTCAGCTCCAAGTTTTAACGATAACTGAATCTGGAGCGAAACTTTTCTGGACAATGCATAAGCGAGTACAAATCTAACATTTAACATACATTACGAAGCCGCGACTTGTTGCTCTTCGTCGCCCCCCAATGTGAGTTCGATATCGTCCTTTAGGAGAGCAAAAAGCTTCTCGTAGGCATCTTCCAAATTTTCGTTGACTATGTACATGTCATATATGCGCTTGCCCTGTGGGCTGTTGGCGAACTCCATGTCGATTGCAGCCTGACGAAGGCGAGACTGGATGGTGTCGTTTGTTTCCGTCCCACGATCACGCAAGCGACGCTCTAACTCCTCGAGCGAAGGCGGGCCAATAAATACGAAGCGCGCGTTCAAAGGCGGCTCCGCTGCATGAATGCTACGAACACCGTTGGCATCCACATCCAAGATACATATGCGGCCACTGTCCAAAACCTAATGCATAAAACAGCCTTTATGTATGATTATAATATCGCGAAATTAGTCTGCAGACACAGCTCTTCTGGACAATCATGGTAGAAAATAGTTAGCCCGGGATGCCTACGATTTAACATGAGTAAGTTTACCATAGACGAACATTACTAGAACGGAATGCATGCAAAGTAAAAACGTTGACCAGCGGTTAATGTATCTAATTTGACACCCTTAAATTACGACAACCATCTTTTCCGTCAAGAGCACAAAAAAGATATAGAAAATGGCAAGCAAGAAGCGTACATTGTATTGTGTATTCCAGTTTGAGATCAGAGAATAAAAATTGGTTCGAACTCGCGAAACCAGGGACTGAAACCATTGGTCAGTGGATTTTGGAAAATATCGGTGAAGCGTGCGATTTAGCGAAGCGCGAGTGGATTGCTAGTGATAAAAAAAGGGGACATAAACTGGAGACAAAAGTACTACACTCAATGACATCCATGGAAGAGAAAACGATGCAAAGCAACAAATGCGTGTTAAAGCAAGAAGTATGGGTGCGCGGTAACAGCCCAACATTAAAAAACACGTTAAGGTAAAGCTATTTCAAAAAAACTTATGTGCAACTACGGGCAACTTACCGATGTCACTGCATCGCGCGGGGTCCCATAATAATTGCCCGCAAACTCTGCATACTCAAGAAACTTGCCGTCCTCAATATCTTTAATCATTTCATCCAACGACACAAAGTTGTAGTGTTTTCCATGAACTTCGCCAGGTCTAGGTTTGCGAGAGGTATGGGAAACACTGAATGCAAAGCTGTTTGGAAAGTTGTCCATAAGCATCTTAAGAAGAGTGCTTTTGCCGGCCCCAGAGGGCCCACTCAGAACGACAGGGCGGACACCCGACATTGAGATGTGCACAGACTCGACTACGAACACCAGGCCGGCCAGAAAGATTAAGTAGGGCAATACCTCCATTGGTGGAAATCAAGACCAATCAAAAACTACTAGTTACTACATTAAAAGCATGCTTGAATACGTGAAAGTATTGATTCCTTGTGTTTGCAATTTCCAAGCTGCTAAACTTTATTCGTTAAGTTTATTTAAGTTGAAGTGTGAATAACAGCCAATGGTTTCATTTTTAATAAGTTAAATACTGGTAATATTATCAGTGGTATGCACCTTCTATTTATGACTGTAGATTTGGGATAAACAAAAAAATATTTTAAATAGATTCAGTGCCGTCACCGACTATTTTGCCGGAACATTTGCCTTAACATATTAAGCATCTTAAAAAAAAAATAAAAAAAAATCATGCATTTCTAAAATTTTAATCCTAATTTTTGTCCATCTTAAGTCCACTTAGTGCACAATTTCAATTATATTGGCGAGGCTGAAAATCTTATATCGCCATCAAAGAAATTTAACTGACTTATACGTAGTGAATTAGAACTGTAGTTTGCATGAAATTGCTTCAATATCTTGCTTATGGATTGAATTGACGCATCGGAGGGTCTGTCTTTTTACGCAGAAACGAAACCAATTCATGGCCAATATTTTATGCAACACAAACTCAAAAATGTCCATTGAGTCTTTCAGTTTTAATAAAAGTTATTCTTTTTGGCATATATACTATTTCTAGACCATACTCATTTAAACTGTCTGCTATATAAACACCTTTTTTCTTAAAAATTCCACAGTAGAAATGCTTTTTACAACAAAGCAAATTTCGAAACCACGCATAAACTTTTGTAAGAAAAATCGATAAATTGGCTTTAATCGATTTTTACTTGCCTTTAACTTACATATGTATATTGTGCTTTAGTTTTCTTGTATAACGTACATAATACGAGATCAAAAATCTAATTTTTTTTGGAATGTCCTATAGGAATAGCCGCTAATTCATGATTGAGCATCGGTCATTCAGCTGAAGGATGAAAATGACACGTGGTTCCAGAATTTATAAGCTACGTACCTGCGTTTGAATTAAGCTTATTATTGACGTAGTACAGAGTCAACGACTTTGTTATTCCTAATCAAGAAACCCCAAGGCCACATTTGTTAAAATGTATCTTCCAGTTTGATGGTGGTATAGAAGTGTAGAAAACAGGCCTTATTAGTATTGCTTTCTTGTGTTGGAGAAGTTGTTTTTCAATGGTCACATCGGTGTTCTGAGCGCATTTAATTAAGTTTGGCGAGCAGCAAGCGGGAGCAGTTAGCAATCGTGACTGAATACAGTTAGTAAGTGTGAACGAATATGATGGAATCGATTTACACGAATATACTTCACATAACTATGTTGGTTCAAGGACCGATACATAGCGTAACAATATAAACGCACTTTTTATCCTGTACATAGACACACTTTTTATGACCTAATATAGGGCTGCTCAGCCTTATTTCTCGCAGCGCCATGCCGCAAAAAATTCTTTGACCACGACCTAGGCCATCAAAAAAGCAAACCTTCAATCATCTTGGGAGGAATCAGCCTAAAACAACCTCCATTCTGACCGAATTGCGCACAGTGTTAGTTCGCTGTTTTGGAAGAACCAATTATAGCACTATCATTGTCAGCCAACATACGAAATACTCCCACATTGTCTCTACTTTGGGTAGCGAACTGGCCAACGAGGTTTCGGACGTACTGCTTCACCCTGACAACGACTTCCATTACGATTTGCTAAAGGCAGCCATTGTGAAACGTACGCAACTGACTACACCGGAACGCATTAGTTAACTTTTATACCATGATGATTTGGAAGGGTTAAGTCCTACCCAGATTCTGAATAAACTCCGTCAACTATCCAACGACGAACCTTTCCAATGTCTATTTTGGAAAGAATTCTTTTCTTAAACGACTTTAACGCAATACCCTATCCATCCTTGTCCTCATGGTTGAATGGCCAACACTAAAAGAGTTGACGGATACCGCAGACCTCATATTTGAAGCAACGAAATCGGTTTATACCTCCGAAATTGACCCAAGGCTCTAAAGGCAATCGAAAGCCTTTTTGTCCATGGGCGCGTGCAAAACCTCTGTCTCCTTGGAGAGCCACGTAGCCAGGTTCTAAACTGCAATCGACGCCCTGATAATCAACGGTTACCGTGGGAGAATATACCATTACTCATTTAGACTGAATCGATTGCATTTTCACCGCAACTTCTCTTCCTGAGGTTTGTGTTGTTATCATGCAACCTTTGTAAGCGCAGTTCAACAGCATAAGCCTTCATATGGATGCGCTATTTTAGACTCACTCACACAGTCAAGAAACAAGTATGCCCAACAGTTATGGCATCGGCTGTAAATGGGCACATAAACAGCCGCCTTTTCCTACCCGACAAGTCAACTAGTATGCGATTCTTGATTGACTCAGGAGCTGACATATTCGTTGTCCCGCCAGCGCTCTCTGACAAGCGGTCCCCATACCCTTTCTCTGTTTTCGTTGCCACCAATGGTTTTCCCATTCTCACCTACGAGCAGAGATCTCTCACGCTCAACTAAAGACTATGACACCAAACTGAGATCTGGCACAATGTCACGCACAATATTTTGACAAACGATCGCCTTGTTAATGCCCGAGTAAGCCAACTCTCTCCAACCAGATGCACAACGGCTAAACAAGAATTCGAACACATGTTGCAGTTTGGCATAGTCCGACGATCAGATAATGACTGGTCATCTGCGCTTCACATGGCTCACAAGAAAGCTGTTGGTGAATGGCGGCCATGTAGTGATTATCGTCCTTTAAATGCAATAGCGATTCCTGATCGCTACCCAATATCGATTCTGCATGATTTTTGTTACATCTACACAGAAAGTCCGTATTTTAAGGTTATATTTAGTGCCAGTCTATTTTCGGATCCCCGAGGAACCACCTACTATCCCTTCAGTTTGTTGAAGTTCGTGCGAATGCCTTTCGGCATAAGACATGCAGCTCAAAATTTCAGCATTTTATCCACCAAGTATATTTTGTCTTTTCGTATACCTGTTTGTCGGTGAAGATGGGAAGGAGCATCTGGAGCACATGAACATTGTCTTCTTATGCCTTGAACCCTGGGACAATTGATTTGCGTGAACTTGCTACACGTAACTATGTTCTTTTAAGGACCAATGCTTGGCGAAGCTATGTAAATGCACTGGTTATCTTGAACATACACATATCTTTTCACGACTTAATATACGACTGCTTTCCTATTATTTTGGTCTTATTTCTCACAGCACCATGCCGCAACACATGCAACATATGTCGGAAGCAGGATGGCCACCTGTGAACAAGGAAAAAGCAGACAAATTATCTGCAGATGGCGGAAATGATCCTTAATTTACAAAGATTATACGCAGGCATTTAAAACCTATGATAAAAAGTTGACTGGAATGCTGCATGTTTTAGCCATTTGAATTACCAAAAATGTTTGCGAAAACAGTGAATGAGATAACCAATCGTCGAGTTCCAGTAAATTTAGATACTTGGTTGCATTACCTTACTACTCTTCTTGGTAACAGAATGTTTCGACCCGAAGACAAAGCTAAGAGAGTCAGCAACAGACACGAAGGTTTATCAGCGTATCTCTGATTTGGGTAGTGCGTCTGACTAACAGTGCAGTGACCTATAAGGACGCAGACGTATTGGAGCACACTGGCCTCAGTCAATCCTCTATTGCTCTGAGTTCAAAACGCCATGCGAGGAAGGTATGCAGCTAACCACAGAGAGACTCGTATAGAAAGCAATATAAAATGAGCGGAGTAGCCAGCTTGGTGAAATCGAATGGACTGCGCCTTTCGTACGGTTCTGGTTTGCGACTGGTAATAAGTTATTTAAGCGAATAGGTCAGATTCTAGAAGATGCAAAAAAAGGTCCTTAAATATTTTCAGTATACTGGAAATTAAGAGGAGCTTAATTACGACACGGTTCCCAATTGTTGCCACAACCATTACATCCAGGTTTCTATCGTATTAAGGTGATCTAAATAAAAAGAAGTAGTTTATTTTTCTCATCATATACCTGTTACACAACAAAACACAAACAAATCTGCCGCTCTTTTTCCTATTTAACTGCTTTCGTTAATGCAAATGTCTTTTGATTTAATTAATTAAGTCCAGAATTTTTATGGAATCAAGGGCCAAGTCCTAATCTGACTTGATATAGTACTTGTCTAAACTGATGATGAAAGCATCGCAACCATAAATAACCCCTAAAAACGATAAAACAATAACAATGGAACATCACTGTTGACGACATGAGATCCCTGACAAAGGTGATGGAAGCCGTTCAAGAGTGCCACAATATTAAAACATAAACTCGTCTTTGTAGTTTTCACCTCTAGGTAAGCTACTACTTGTAGTAAGTTTGACATGCTGATATAATTTTGTTTTTCCATACCAATGCACTTCAATGGAAACAAAAGAAGCATTTACTTGCATTGTAGTTTGAAACAACGAATGCTACTGAGAGAAGAAAGCAAGATGTGTCGCACAAGCTAGTACTTCTCAAAATAAAACGAAAGCTGAACAATAAAATTGTACAAATATAATTCTTTACGGAAAAATTTCCATCTGCTCATACCTGTGTGAGTACATTTACCAAAAAAATACTTGCAATAGATAAACTTTTTCATTATTTAATAGTAAGTAAGATTACAATTAGTCCTAATCACAGACAGAAGATCCAGACTTCCTGATCAGCAAATATCCGGCATTCCCTATGCAAATCTAATTATCTTTAGTGTTTAACAATTCGGAAGCAGTGTCTCCGTTTGCAGTGACCAACAACGTCGTGAACAACGCGCTCTCGTAAAGAAATAAGTATTAGTTTATCCTTTATTACTGAACAGGCGCGTGTAAGTTCAACGCAGAGTAATAACCCCAATATACTGTTGATTACTCTTGTAGACCATTCAAGCTTTCAAAGATGGGGAATTAGTTAAGCTCAGCATAAACTGAAATAACTTGTCGTGAATCCTGTTTATTCAACCTCCTA